CTGGGGACTGTTTCCTGGGTTCCCTGATCCCTGCAGCTGCGTGCCTCCTCAACAGATGCACCGCGACTTCCTACACGTTTCTATTTATCCGCACTCTTTCTTTCCCACGGAAATGATGGCGTATCCCACACCCACCCCTCAGGATCTTACGTGTTCACTTAATGATGTATCTTGGAGGCTGCTGCAAGTCAGCTCACACAGAGCTCCTGAAAACTCCACAGTGTGTCGGAGACCTTCTGTTGCCCCACAAAGGGCTCCCTGTGTCCCCCCCAGCCATGTGTGAGCAAACCCGCAGCTTCTCTCTGATCCTGCAAGTACGAACCACAAGCATGTCTGCTTTGCTGATGTGCTGGGCCCTGGATGCGGCCTGCCTGAGGTCTGGGCTGGTGGAACAGGGTACAAACCAGGCCGGCCTGCAGGTTGCTACACGGAGGGTTGCTCGCCAGCGCCCTCAGCAAGCCGCAGAGTGAGCACAACCCGCTGTGGGGCTGAGCCTGAGAAAGGTCCAGCATGCTGCCCGGCTGCTTCCCTGTTCAGATCTGCATGAGTTGCTATGTGAGCAAGTCCTGCCCCTGCCCCATCCCTGGGCCTCAGTTTCTCCATCTGTTAAACAAAGCGCTTGGAGCTCCTGGTCTCTAAGATCCTTCAGTGCTCAACTTCTTAGAAATCTCCACCTCCGAGGGTCTCCTGGAAGCTGCTTTTCAGACCCCAGGATGGAAACCATCTTCCGAGGGACTCTGCCTCCATTTCTGATCTAGCCGTGGCCACCGCGTCTGCGGGTTCTATTTTTGTCTGTGGACCGAGGTCACATTCCCCAGGGAAGGCAGGGGCAGGGACTGGCCGTGGTTCGGAGCCCAGCCCCCAGCTCCCAACACCCAGCTCCTCCAGGCAAAGACTCCAAGAACAGTTTCCTGTACTGAGTGCTTTCCCTGGCTCCTCGCAGTCATCGGCAAGAAAGGACGATTGCTCTCCCCATTTCACAGAATCGGAAATACAAGCACAGAGATGTTAAACAATCGCCACGTAGCCACCCAGAAAGCCTAGGGCGGGGTTGGCACTGTGTCCCACACAGCGCTGTCGAAAGCCTGGGCCAGGGCTCAGCTGGTTGACTTCCTGTGCACTGCACGATGGGCACCAGCATCCCTGGCACCCCCGCTAGACGCTGTTGGGAGGGGACAACTAAAAATGTCTCCAAGGTTGCCGGTGTCCTGGGGGAAGGGTCAAACCACGCCTCACGGAGAGTCACTATCCCCACACAGCTAACACCTCCTGCCCATGGCTCAGGCTCCTAGAGACTGACCACTGTCTACAACCCAGGCAGAGGGCCGTGCCTGGGCAGGTGACAGAAATATCACAGGGTCGCCTTCTCCAAGGATGGCAACAGGGCAATTCAGTGAGGAGCACCAGCCAACAGCAAAGGAGGGCATTGGGTAGGAGAGTAGGTTTGGAGTTTGGCTGTGTGACCTCGGACAAGTGCCTTAACCTCTATGAGATGAGTCTTCTCAGCCAAAATGAGAGATGATCCTTGCAGGATTGAGATGCGAGGCGTAAGTAAGGTATCATACCCTGTCATACAAAACAATGGATGAGACAAAATACCTATTTGCACAGAGTGGGTAGATTGTGAATATGATATACAAACACATGAAGATTCTGTAAAGAGGTGAAGAGGAAAAAAAAAAAAAGCCTGGAGAGTGGGAATGGCATCTACCATCCCCGTGTCTCCCTCCGGCGTCGTCTGAATCAGCCCCACTGTGCACGTCCGTTCATCCTCAGCTCCAGGTTTCCAAAGCCTTGATCAAAAAGGAGAGGACGGCAAAGACTGTGCCCGGCCCAGTGAGAGTGGTGGCTTTATTACTATCACAGGTTTATTGAGCAGCTACTGCATGCCAGGGTGATGGAGAAAGATACGAGGGACACACGGACGATGGAGAGGTGGCCTGTTAGATATCCAGAGGCTACCAGAGGAGAGGCCTGCGGGTTTCTGACTGGCCTGGGGCCAGGAGCCCAGCTCCAGCCTTTCTCCCTCATCGGACTTCCGTCCTGAGCTGGTCACAAGCTGGAGCCTCTCTGTGGAAGCCACAGGACAAGTGAAATGACCAACATTTACACTTCCTCACTCCTTTAGTCCTTCCTATTTTTATCTCCACCCCACAGATGAGAAAATCGAGGCACAGAGAAGATGAATAATTTGCCCAAGGTCAAAGAGCAAGCAGGTAGCAGAACCAGCATTCAAACCGAGCGTTCTGCACACGGCCCACACCGTGCCCACCTCTTGTTATGACTTCCTCCTCCTCCTCTTCCTCTTGCTCACCAGGGACAGTGCCCTGTGCCCACCCCGTCGCCCTCTGACCTCCAGAAGAACACGGCCACTTTCACTCGTTCTGGAGGCACCCAGGTGCTCCGGGTTTGTCCACAGTGCTCGGGGCAGAGGGGACAGGGCGAGCAGGAGCCGGCGGGGTTCACACTGCCCGTCAGCGCACTCCACCTCCAGCCTCTGAGGGAGCCACACCAAGCGTTAACCCAGTCCAGATGCACTTGACCCTGGCCACAGACTGCCAGAGCTGGCCCTGGGCTAAGCCCTAACCTTAGACACACACTGATGCCTGATGACGGCTGCGATCCAAGTTGCAGTGTCCGGTCACTGAGCCATGATCCTTATCAAGAACCGGCCCTAAAGCTGGATGCACTCCAGCCCCAACCCTGGCTCTGGCTGGCTCCTGACTCTAAGTTTAGACTGATCCCTGATCCTGGACATGCACTGAGTCCAGTCCTGCATCACTGACTGATCCCCAGTCCTGGGCACAGAATCAACTCTAACCTGGGTCTCAGACTGAGCCTTGACTTTGGTCACACACTGAGTCCTGGCCCTGAGCATGCCCTGAGCTTTCTCCTGGCCTCAGATGCTGTTCGGCCATCTCTGAGTGCTGCTGTCCACTGTAGGACGCAGGGAGTTCCCAGAAGCCCCTTCCCGCCTCACCCCAGAGCCTGGATCAGTCAGTCTGCTGGCCTGTGCAGAGCATGCCAGTCTGCCACCCCCCGGGGCCAAAGGATAGGCTGGGAACCCTAAGAAAGCCATGGAGCGTGCAGCTTGGGCAGAGCCAAATTCTTGGGAGACCCCTTTCCATCCAGAAGCTCCTAAACGCCTCCTGTATCTCTCTGCCCATCTTTCCTCCCCTGCTGGCTGCATACATTTCTCCTGGAATAAGAATCATCTGCAGAGTTCCGTCTCTAAGGCAGGGAGGTCAGAGGAGGCACCAGCACTGGAGAGAATCCTACCACCAGGAGGAAACGCCCCCGGCAGGCGGGGACTGTGCCGTCCTCCCTGCCTCCAGCAAGCTACTCACTGTCCCTCAGCTGGCCCCCAGACGGACAGCTGCGGAGGCTGCCGGCGCTGACAGAGGGGCCTGTCCTCTGGCAGCAGCTGCTGCCCCCACACCCACCCCTGACCTGGGAATTCATCCCAGTGTCCTGTAGAAATTTTGAAACGGTTCCCACGGTGCTTCTAAGGATGGATGGCTGAGCAGGGCCTACCACAGGGTCCCGTGGGCTCCCTGAGGGCTGACATTTCCCCTTAGGGCACCAGGAGACAGGCGTGGGGGGTGGGACAGGGAACACACAGCTTCCCGCCAACCCTCACACGAAGGCCAAATGTGAGAGACCACGGAGAGCTGCAGGCCAGAGTCCCTCTCAGCGCCCACCCTGCCCTGAAGAGAAGGGCGAGCTGCTCAGGGCCGGGGACTGGGGGAGGCTGTGTGGGTCCTTCAGATGCACATCACCCAGCCCCTTCCAGCCCCCTGACAGCCTGCGGCCTAGTTCAGGGAGTCGAGGGCCTAACATCCACTGATATGTCAGTCAGTCAGAGAAGAAAGTGGAAACCACCCGGCCAGCCGCAGACATCTTGTCATTCAGACACAGAGACAGGCAGATGGTCAGCAGGTCACTCAGCATTTGATCAGGCACACAGTGAAGCAACCAGGTGGACAGGCAGATGGTTGGTCAGGTACCTCAAGGAGATACAACAGATGCTCACAGAGACAAACAGGTGGCCAGTCTTCTGTCGGTCAGCTACAGACCGTGAGTCAGGTGGAGAGTAACAAATAGGCTTCGCCACTCAGCTAATGAGAGCCAGCCAAATACTCCCAAAGACAAGAAGATCCAACAGACTGTCCACCAGACAGACAGACAGACAGACAGACAGACAGGCAGACCATCATTCATCCGTTTAATCAGACACAGAGAAACAGTCAGGCAGACACCGAGAAAGGCATTTGAACAGGACATGGGCAGAGTTCCTGCCTAGTTAGCTATCAGGACAGACTGACGGTTGGTCCTCCGGTGCCATCTGTCAGTTATGCATCCAGACAGGCGGCGCTCAGTTAGACGTGGGGACAGACACCTACTCAGTTAGCCAGATGCTCAGCCTGTGGTGCACAAGTCACATGGCCAGAGTCGGTCAGGCTCCATCCGGCCGCCGGCCCAGGCAGGACAGAGTTAGAACTGGGGGCTGTGAGGGATGTTAGGAAACCACACAGATGGGCTTGAGCTCACAGAATACCTGGCGTTCTCAGCACCACGCCAGAGGCTCTGACTCAGTCCCTAAGCGGTCAGGGCAAGCTGGCTGGGCGGAGAGGAGCAGCCGCCAGGGCGGCCTGAGAAAGCAGCCAGGTGGTCAGCTGCGCAGGCCTCGGCAGGAGCAGAGTTTCTTCTTACCCTCTCTGGGACTTTGCTTAACGGGGTGTCCCCGCAGGTGACCAGCCTCTCTAGCTTCACCAGCCACCCCCACCCAGGAGTCACCCCCTTCTCCTGCAGGGGCCACCCTCCCTCTGCAGGCCGCACGGCCAGAGGGGAGGCCGTGGGGCACGTGTGTGCCTGCACACGTGTGTGCCCGCCTGTCTTGGGGGCGGTGCCACTCACTTGGGCCCCTCCTTCCTCCCAGCTGTGCAGAGATCCCCGTTCCTCCCTCTGCTGCAGTGGGGGTTGGGAGGCCCGCCCAGGCCTATTTCCCATTTTGGGAATTAGGCTAAGAACTATGCAGGAGACAGAAATAATTCCTTTTTCGAGCCTGGCCAGGCCTGCAGCAGCCTGAACACTGGCACAGAACCAGTGCTGGGAAGGGCCTGAGAGGGGGCAGCTGGGACGGGGCTGAGTCCTGGGCCCAGAGAGACAAAGGCCTGGCTTGTGCAACAAAGCCTCCTCATCCAGTTCCAGGAACCTGAAAGATACAAGGCTCCCAGTGTGGAGCTGCCAGGCCAGAAAACAGCTCAAGGTAAAGGAGAAGGTGCAGGTTCCAAAAGATAGAACAAGGGAAAAAATTCAGAGGCTTTGCCAGCAGAGACGACCTTAAAAACAGACCGTTTCTGCTGGCCTGGCTGCCCCAGCCAGCCCTGCTTCTGATGACCCTGTCCTGTCCGCTTTGAGGACACCTTAGGAGCTGGGGATGACGCGGAGGTTCAGAGACGGTAAACAACTTGTCTGGCTCCAATAACCAGTCGCCCACCAGGTCAGGAACTGTCTTGGGTTTCCCGAATTGCATGGATTCCAACAGATTCCAGCTCACATGCAGCTTTCTTGATGTGTTTTGTGTCATTTATTTCACCAAAGACAATAGCATTTTGTGCTATTGTCTTCTGGTGTTTTCCCCTTAAATGGATCTTTTTAAATTTAAATGTTTATTTTATAAGGAACCTGCCAATAGGAAAGCCAGGGTCTGATACTCTTAAGCTGAAGGAGGGTGACCAGCCATTCCGCCCGTTGGCAGGGACTCAGGTGTTCTTGACTGTGGAACTTCTAGGACCCACTGCCCACGCCATGGGCAGTCCACAGACCAGGAAAGCAGTAGTCAGAGCCGGGAATCGCTAGCATGCAGCATGTCCTGATGAGAATGCAGTCTTACACTCCCAATGTGCTGCTTCCCAGCCTGTGACTCTCTCAGCCTCACATTTGCATCTGTAAAATGGGAGCAACAGGGAACCTGCTTCCCAGGGTGGCCACAGGATGAGACGATGCGAAGGCCACACGGAACCTGCATGGGGCAGCGTGCAGTGCGTTTCAATCCTCTCCTTTCCTTCCCTCTCAAAGCACCACCCTCGTCTCATTGGGGCTACACAGCAACCCAGCCAAATGCAGGCCTCAGACCCTACTTTCTGGGTGACACCACCTGGAGTAAGCCTTGGTCTCTGAGCTTCAGTGTCCCCTGGGATAAAATGACAGTTCTAAAGAGGAGAGATGTCTGAGAGCAGCAGTGCAAGCGCTGGTGATCTCAGACATCGGGCTGCGTCCTCCCAACCTCCCCTGCTCTCCCGGGCTCCACAGAGTTCTGAGGAAGCCGACCTCACGCCTGCCCTGGGAGCAAAGGGTCAGCCTCTGGCTCGCCCAGCTGCAGAGCTGCTCAGAGCGGACCCGTGACTAAGCCAGGCCACTCTGAGCGTCTGGCTGGGGTGTGCCTGAAGGGCCCCTTCTGGTAACAGCCTCTGAGAGCCTCCTTCCTCCTGCAAGGCGTGATGCGTGAGTGTGAGGCCCAGACGTGCTGCAGCCTTCGGGGTTGTAGCAATGGAGGGCGAAGCAGAGTAAACCACGGAGGCTGTGGAGACCTCATCCTCACCCTGACCCCAGCCCCGGCCCAGACTCTGCCCGGACTTTTCAATTACGCCCTCCAACAAGTGTGGCAGTTTGACTGGGCTCTCTGCTTTGTGCCCCCCATTACATCCCAACAGCCCGACCTCCGTCTCCAAAGACTCCCCCAGTTTTAATCCTCATCACGATCACCGTAGTGGTTTTCTTCCCATTCAGAGAGGAGAAAACGGAGGTTCAGAGAAGTGAGATGACTTATCCAAAATCAGAAAGTGTCAGCAGAAGAATTTCAACCTGGAAGTGTCTTACATTCTTTCCATCATGCTATTTAGGTGCCGGGGATAGAGCTCGGTGGCACAGCACCTGCCTGGCAAGTGCAAGGCCGTGAGTTCGATTCCCGTTACCCAAACAAACAAACACATATCATGATATCTGGCATCTATCTCTGGCAAGTGAGAGAGAGAAAACCAGTAATGAAAGTGGACGACCACTGTCAAAATGACCATGCCTAGCAGATGCTTGGAAAACATTCAGCTCAGCACTCCATTTCGTGGGTGGGAAAACTGAGGACAAGAGGAGAAAGGGACCCTGGGAGCCCAGCCTGCCTCAGCTAAAGGAGATGGTTCTCAGAAGGTGGAGTCACCTGCTGCTCTGTGCTGCCTGAGGGTCCCCTTCTGGAAACAAACCTCACGTCCTTTTGGGAAGCCCTGCCTTCTCCAGGCTCAAGCAGGCACAGCTGAGGACAGCCCCAGGTCCGACCAATCCGAATTGTGCAGTCCCCCGGCAATAATGATTGGCTCAGTTTGGTCACGTGACCCAGTTCAAGTCAGTCAGAGTGAATCCTGGGAGGGATGCTCCAACCTTAACCAACCTCTGTGTTTTTGATCAAAATACATAGTAAATGTTTAAATGCAAAAAAATGTATCACAAGAGGGCTGGAGAGGGCTTATGGGTGTTTGTGAGTCCTGAGTTTGACTCCCAAAAAAACAAAAAGCTGAAAAATGTATCACAAGAGCTGGGGGTTTAGCTCAGCAGCACAGCACCTGCCTGGCAAGTATGAGGTTCTCAGTTCGATTCCCGGTACCAAAAAAAAAAAACAAAAAAATCACGGTAAAAGACACATTGACATGAAGCCCCCTCAGAATACTGGCCCTTGCTTCAAACACATTGACTCCATCTGTTTTGCCTCTTCCTGCAGCAATTGCGGACGTCTTCTTTGATAAGTGTCTTTGGTTGCACTTTCATGGCTACCTTGATGTCCTGAATGGGTTCAAAATATTGACAACAGTTTCTGTCAAATAAAAACATGCTGTGTCCTTGTGCATCTCATTCACAGGATCTGACACCAGGAAAACTGTGGCTCTTCCCCAAAGTCAAAATGACCATGACAAATGAACATTTTGAATCACGTCAAGCTTCTAAGGCAGTCACAATAGAGCCACAACGGACGTTTTCCAAAGAGGCCATTCTGAACTGCTTCAGAAAGTAGCAACAACCAAGGGGTGAGTGTGTTCTAAGCGGGGGGGCACCTCCTGAGGAGGACTAGCGGCTGCACCTTCTGCTGTGGTATTTGTTGTTACTTAGACGCACACTGTAGCTTTTGATGGCCCCTCTAATCCGCATGGAGATTCAGAGGGCTCCGGGGCTCCAGGTGCAGAGCCCTCGCCAGCCACTGTAGCCAGCTAGGATTCAGCTTTAAACTTGTCATCAAGGTGGCCAATCATCCCAGCCTGGGCTTTCAGGATCACCTTGACTTTAAAGGGAAGTTCCACAGCCAACAGCCACCTGAGTCCCTGCAAACAGGGGCGGAATGGCTGGTCACCCTCCTTCAGTTTAAGAGTATCAGACCCTGGCTTTCCTATTGGCAGGTTCCTTATAAAATAAACATTTAAATTTAGAAAGACCCATTTAAGGGGAAAACACCAGAAGACAATAGCACCGACCTTTGGTGAAATAAATGGCACAAAACACATCAGGAAAGCTGCATGTGAGCTGGAATCTGTTGGAATCTATGCAATTCGGGAACCCAAGACAGAGTTCCTGACCTGGTGGGTGACTGGTTATCCGAGCCAGAAGGACAAGTTGTTTACCGTCTCTGAACCTCCACATTGTCCCCGGCTCATAAGGCAACCATCCTTAAAGGGGACAGAGTCGTCAGAAGCAAGGCTGGTGGGGACAGGCAGACTCGGTTCATGCCCTTAAGGAGAGCTACTTCTCTTTAAAGCCTGAGCTCCTCCCAGGGCAAAACCTGGATCCAACAGCCGCAATGATTTAGAGTTCCGTGGGGAGGCCTGTCATTCCCTACTTTGCAACTGCTGCGCCTGGCTGATGGGGCCAGTCTGCAAATTAGCCACCATTCAGCTGAGACACCCTTTAGAGATGCTAATTGCCTGGTGCCCAGGCATCTCCACCCCTCCCTGGCACAGGCAGCTGGCTGTCGATGCCCTGCCATTATTTTCTGATAACAGTGCTTGATCGGTCTACGCAAATCAGGGATCCTGCGTGCGTGCTGTTAACATCTAATTGCCAGCCAGCAAGGTGCGTGCAGTGCGGGTCATTAGCGTGCTCTGGTAAAGCCCATTGGTATGAACATACATGTATCCAGTGTCTGTGGATGTGTGTACACCCTTACGTCTGTTGCCTCGGCTCCCAGGTGTGGGATCAAATCCGTGTACACACGTGCATGTGCTTTCTGAACCATTCATAAGCCTACTTGGAGCAGCCCCAGACACGTGCACATGCTGGAGTACACGGGGTACACAGGGTGCTGCGGGGTTCCTCTGAGGACTGAACGACAGGCGTCTGGAATGCACCCAGAGCGGCACCTCACACAAGGCTCCTCAGCCCTCAAGACTGAGCTCTCGTGTTGATTATTTTCCCGATGCCTTTTTATTTATGGAGGAACGATTTACACACAGTGAAATGCATGAGTTCTAACTGCATTAAGTGCAATGTCTTTTAATAAAAGGACACATTTGCATAACCACCATCCCAGCGAAGGTTCAAAGCACGTCCATCACCCCGAATCTCCCCTCACTCTCCCACCAGGCAATGTCCCAAGGGCGCACTGTTCTGATTTCCGTCCCTACAGCAGAATCTGGCTTCTCCTGGAACCTCACATGTGTGCAGTTGCACAGCATGTCCTTGACCAGGACTAGGATGCATCTCAGATGTGAGCACAGCGTGGCGGCCACACCTGGGTGGAAGGGCACAGTGCTCTGTCAGACACCATGGGGGGCGGGGGGGGGGTGCTTTTCTGAGCTGGAACTTTCTCAGTTTGGCCTATCCCTGGGCCACAAGGCTAAGGGAGGTTGGGGAGCCCCTGACCCTGGGTTCAGGCCACTTAGAGGTTCCTTCCACCCTTTTTCAGCTCTCCTTGCTGGATGACCTCAGGCAAGTGCTTAAAATCTCCACTCTGATGGGGTGTGCTGGCACATTCCTGTAAGCCCAACACTTGGGAGGCTGAGGCAAGAGGATCACTGTGAGTTCGAGACCAGCCTGGGCTACAAAGTGAATTCAAGGCCAGCCTGAACTGCAGCAAGATCCTGTTTCAAAAAGACCAAAAAATAAAAAATAAAACAAAGCTCTCCGCTCTCTCTGTAAAGCCTGATACATTACATGCCTTCCCATAAGCCCCCTGCACCACGCACTTACTATGAGGTGGGTGCCGCGCTAAGGGCTGTACCTCGATCACCCAATCCTCCCAGCAATCCTGCAGTCCAGGCACACTTACTGCCCTGGTTCTGGGAGAGGTCTCTGCAATGCACAGAGACATCTAGCTGTGTATCCAAGGTCATGAAGGAAGCGGCAGAGCCAGGATTTGAACCCTGTGCGGCTTAAAGGTAAAATGCTTAATCTACTAAGTGTTAGAAGGGGCCGCTTCCAAGGGCATTTACACCCAAAGCCTCAGGATAACCCCATCTCACAGATGAAGAGGCTAAAGTCAGCAACCACCTCACTCCAATTAGAACTATGATTAGCAAGAGAAAAAACAATCAGTGCAGGCGAGGGTGTGGGGAAAGGGGATCCTTACACACAGCTGGAGGAATGTAAACTAGCACAGTGTTTAAAGAAAAGAGTGGAGCATCCTCAAAAAATGAGAAATAGGTAAACCATATCTAGCAATTCCACTGCTGGGTGTATGTCCACGGGAAATGAAATTAATATGGCCAAGAAACTTTGTACATGCACATCTACTGCAATACTGTTCACAGCCTATGTGTCCATTAGCAAAAGAGCAGATGAAGATACATGAATGGAAGGAACATTACGCAGCCATAAAAAGGAGGGAGTCCTGTCATACGTAACAAAGGCAATGTACCTGGAGGACCTGTTAAATAAACCAGGTACAGAAAGAAAATACTGGATGATCTCACTCATATGTGGAATATAAAAAAAGTTGTTCTCATGGAAATAGAGAACAGAAGTTTCCAGAAACGGGGGGTAGGAGGGCAGGATGTGGTGGGAAGAAGCTGGTCCACAGATGCCAAGGTCGGGTTGTGGGGGAAGAACTGGTGTCCTACAGCACAGCAGGGTGACTACCATTACCAACAGCGTTTCATGTATCCCACAATTGCTGGCAGGGAGGATCTGGGACGTTTTGATGCGCTTGTTGCTGTGAGGTGACTATTACATGGTGTGTGCCTGCCTGTGCCAGCACACCTCGCTCTCCCTGTACCCAGACAGCAAATGCAGGTGTCTCATTTGTAATCCTGCCTTGCCTCACTAGGGGCCTTCTATTCCATGAGATAGGACCTTTTGTGTTTGTGGCTGCCCTGTCCCCAGGACCTAGAGGAGTGCCAGGCATGCATCTGGCATTCATTTTCCAATGAATGGGCACAGCAAGGAGCTTGGGGAATCACCAGCCCAAGGCCCACCCTTGACTGCCTGTGGGACTTGTCCAGGATCACAGCCTTTTGGCACCACTGAGTCTCCTGTTCCTTCCTGGCCTGACTTACCTTCTCTACCTCCTGACTGAAGCAGGCCAAAAGGTTTGGGAGCCCAGGAGGCACTCTCAGTGCCATGTTGTGGGGAGCTGGCACGGAGCCTCCCCCAACTTCATTATGCCACGCAAGGTCAGCGTGGAAGGCTGCCAAGCTAAACCTCAGAAAATGCCGGCCGAAGGGAAGGAAGGCCCGATTCACCAGAGCTTTCTTGCCGGGGCCAGGGAGGGAGGTTCCTGGCAGACAAGGCTGGCGGGGAGGCCTGGGCCAGGCTTTAAGAGCCCTTGGAGCGCAGCCTGCTCTGGCCAGTGTCCCTAGCACATCAGCAGAAGCAGCAAACCTTTCAGTCCAGCAGGGACAATGGGCAGAGGCCGGGGTTTGGGCTTGTGGACACAGGTCCTGAAGGTGGCGATGCCAGGGAAACAGACGGGCAGCCTTCCGGCCCAGAGTCACCCTTCGTGGTAGAGCCCCAGACTGGACAGGGGTGTTGGCGGCCTGGGGCAGAGCCTACGGCAGGAGGGATCCACTGAGGAAGAGCCTGGAGGGGAAGGCAGGGCAGGCACTTGGCTAAGCCTGAGGTCCCCGACCCCTTAGAGCGGGTCCCACCTGGGATCGGGGCTGAGCTGCCGCACCCTGACTGGACAGAGGACGGCATTGGCGAGCTGTAACCCCCAGCTTTCACTGATCATGAATAGTTGTGATGGGGCAGCTGTGATCGGGCAGTTGTGAGGGGCGGTTGTGTTGCCAGCGCCGGCCCTCATAGCAGCTGGACTCTGGCTATGCAAGGACCACATCAGCTGCCCTCTGATGGTACAAATTCCTCACGAGCTCCCAGGCGTGGCTCACCCTCACAAGAAGTGGAAGGCTGAACTGAACAAGGTGGGGGTTCCTCGGCCTTCAAGTCACCCACTTCAAGCCACGCCTGGGCGCAAATGGCACCCCTCATGCTCTGTGAACATCGTGTCTGTCAGAGCCACAAGACTTGAGAATCTGTAAGGCCCCGAGGGTAGGACTTGACAATCACCGCCTGCCAGGGGACAGGAGGAGGCCCAGCTCAAGGACCAGCTGGGCAGATGAAGTTACACAGTGAAGAAGGCCTGGCCAGGGCTCACGGGAGCCAGGCCTGGGAAGGCGATGAGACTGGATCTCAGGAGAGGGTGATGTGACAGAGAGGAACTAGACAGCCTCAAGGGAGGCCCAGACCTGGACTGCAGCCCCTACACCAGCTGCAAGAGGCACTGAACTCTCAGCCCTGGGCAGTGACAAGGGAAGGCCACACTTTGGCTTCACCCTGACATGCAGGCCCAGCACTCCGCAGCAAGTAAACAGCTCATTAGTTCAGCATTGGTGAGCTGGGGCCTCAACCCTGCACCTGTGGACACAGAAGCCAGGTACACCGCAAATGTGTGCTGACTGAGCACCTACTACTGTGTGCCAGGGATCAAGCTGGAGCTAGGGTGCTTCAGGAAAACAAATCAGACACCCTGTTTCTGATGGATGTGGGAGAGGGCATCACTGCTGTGGGCAGGGGGTGAGGAACAGGGAGGGGGAGAAGGTGGATGCTTCCATGTGAACATAGATGGTCATGAAAGTGCCATTGCCTAAAAAAGTGATATTTAATGAAAACTTGGAGGTGAGGGAGGAAGCCAGGAAGACAACAGACAGGCCAGCCTGTGCTCAGGCCCTGAGCTGGGTTTCCGTGTTAGGTGGGGACAGAGGCAGGGAGGGCCAGGGCTGGGAGGCCCATCCCACAGGGCTTTGTAGGCACCATAAGAGTTTGCTTTCACGCTAAGTGCATGGGAGGCACACAAGGGCTGTGAGTGAGAGACGCAGGACCCAGGTTCTCCAGGGACCCCCGCTGCTGCGGGGAGAGTGTCTCGACACAGGAACAGGTATCCAGTGGGAAGTGACGGAGAGCCTAGGTGGGAGATGACAGCAGAGTGATCTAAAGTAGCTTCTCATCCGGGGCCCTGCAGGACACTGCGCAGCCTCTGCTGCTGTCAGGACCACCTCACCTCCAGCCGGACAACCGAAACTATCTCCAGGCCTGCCAGTTTGGGGTGGGGAGAGGGCCGCAAGTAACCCCTAACTGAGAATTTCTGGCCCGGAGTGGGGCTCAGTCAGCCAGGGCTCACAGGCCAAGGTAGCCTCCTGCCCGTTTGCACCAAACACAAAGCCGACAGCGGATTTTATAGCTCTACACAGCACCACTTTAAGTGATTATGTAAGTACAGATGTAACAGCCTCGATTCTGCCTCTTGGCCTGGCCGCAGGCCTGAAATGTTGGCAGTCTGGCCTGCGGAGGAAGGCTGGCCGGCTCCTGGTCAGGAGTGTTAACGGGCTAGTGAAAGGGGTCAGGGCTTGGACGCGCTTTGGAAGTTGGACCTGGGATCCACACAAGGTTGGACATGGTTTGTGGGCAGGAGACAGAGATGGTAACAGCTCCTGGGTTTGGCTTCTGCTCCTGGCAGGAGGTACCGATGTGAGCACGTTTGAGGGGGAACCAGGACTTGGCTCTGGGGCACGCTGGACTTGAGTGTCACACAGGTGGACAGGAAAGTGGCGGAGTTAGCCGGCCTAGCACCAGAGCATGGCCCAGGGTGAAGGCCTTGGCTCTGGGGGCCTCAGTTTCCTCCCCTATGCAGTTGCTGCAAGGACAGAGGGCCCTGGAGCTGGATCTCTGGCTGAGGAGCTTTGTGGTGACCTCAGGAGTCAGAATGGACCTTGGTCCTTGTTAGGAACACAGATCCAGGACTGACCCTTGAGACTTGACCCTGTGGTCCTGGGCAAGGTCTTGGGCACCCTCCTGAACTGCCAGGGGTTCAAGAATCCCTGGCCTAAGTAGGAACCCCTGGTGTTCCATTAAGGAGCCCCTGACTGCCTCTCTGCATGAAGATTCTGGTACCCACAGCAGAGATGCCCTTAAAGATCATACAGCCCAGCAGTGTAGACCAGAGAAGCCAAGTGACTATCCTGAGGCCACAGAGCTGGCAAGCAGCACAGCTGGGTCTGAGCTGGCTGGGCCAGACGAGGAGTTAAAGCTAGCTCAACTATGAGCAGTCAGATCTGGATGATGGAGGCAGGACCGGCTGAGAGTTGAACTTCATCCCAGGAATCATATATTTCTGGGCTTTGTAGATGAACCCATGTCTCCCTCCCATTCGACAGTATTAAATGACTCTCCCCAGAACCCTGCTCAGTTAATTTCTTGTGGAAACAGGCACCTGCTTCCTGTGACGCTGCTGGCCAGCCCAGGACACCCCAGCCTCCCAGCAAACCGATTCCTGCAGCCCAGTGGACTTGCTGGGCCTCTGTGTGTGTCAGCGTGGAACCCGCAGATGCACCAAAAGCTGCATTTCCCAACCTCCACGGCACAGAGGAATGAATCACCTTCGGGAGCTTTGAAGACTACCAATCCTGGCACCCCCAACACCCCCCAGGTTCTGACTCGAGTCTAGCATTGAGATTTTCCAAGGAGCCCCAGATGCCTCTTGCATGCAGCTAAGACTGAGTTAGCCGTCTAGGGACAAGACATCAAGCCACACAGATTCTCAGAGTGAGAAGGTGCCGCCCTTTTCGATTCCCTTCAAATCTTCCAACTCCCTGCAGGGGAAAGTCCCAGCGTGAGACTAATGGAACT